TTGCATTGGCAAAACACAGGTTCACTTTCATGGCACGATCTCCATTGGATCTGGCCAGGTGTTCCAGTCTGGTTTGTAGACCTGCAGTGCAATGGATTTCAGAAGATTTTCCATCACTCATAAAATGACATTTGCACTTCTAAAAACTTCCATCTTCCGTTCTCATGGTCGTTTTCTGGAATTAAACAAGGGCCAGTGGGTTTCCCAACTGTTATATCACTGATAGCATCCAGATGACTCCCCAAATGGCACTAACTTCGGACCTGTTCTTCCTTGGGGTGTATGGCACTTACACATCTGCCCACCAAGCTCTTAGCAGCCTTCGTGACCTACAGAGATGCCGCCTCATTTTAGGGATGGCCCTGCCTGCAGCCTATGAATCATATCTCTGAGAATTACAACAATACCGAGGATTGTATTTCTGGTTTTCTTTCCACACTGACCTTAGTGCAGTTGGCCGCCTTGGCTTCCAGCCCATCCATGGTGACGAGATCTTTCAGCAAGCTGGTCTCCTGGTAGCCGCCTTTCACCCCCTCCAGCTTGAAGTTGGCATAGGGCCTTTCCAGAATGAGACGAAGGCTGATGGCGAAGCCAGCCATGTCGATGGCAAACGGGCGGTTGGGGTCAAACACCGTCTTCCAGCCGACTACCCTGCCCGCCGGGCTGACTCTCGGGGATTCGAACCGTAGACCCCCCACGAAAGCCACCGGCCACACAGAGACTGTTCGTGTGTACCGCATCTGTGTACGAAATAACATTATACAGATTATATGATATTACACTGAACAATACTGAGACAGGAGACAGGATGGGGTTCAATGTTACATTATGAGCAATATTATTATACAGGATTTATATAGCGCCAACAGTTTGCTAAGCACTTTCCAATATAAGCAAGACATTACAGTATAATATAAACATTTCTGAAAGTCAAAGTGTACAGTAAGTATGCAATCTATATCTGTACAGCAGAGCATAATGCTGATATAAAAGACACAAATTAATACAGCTCTGTAACATTTAATACAATATATACAGTATATATATAGATAGATCTATCTATATCTATTTATATATATAAATATTTATATATTTTGTAAATAAAAGCAGTATAAAATACCTAAACCCAAACTAGTATTACCCTCCCCTGTAGAGCGGGACTGGAGAGTGAGAGGAAGAAGCAGCACAAGGAGCCAATCAGTTCATGTGCTGACAAGGAGCATTTAATAGACCCCTGATGTCTCCATAAAAAGAACCTGTCACCTCCAAACGCTATCACATAGGGGCTTGTTAGTCTCTGTGTGATAGCAATAAAGTTAAGTGAAAAATAGTAAAATTGTAAAAAAAAAATTTAAACCAACCCTGCCGCAAATGAAAATGCACACGTAGGGCATGCATGTGTAGGTAAACGACGATTGCGGTACACATGTTAGGCATTATCACGAACATCAGAGTAAGAGCAATAATTTGGGGGCCATAATTTGCTGTTTACTCCAAACTGATGAGCGATAAAGACTTTTAGGGCTTTTCACACATACTCCAGTGCTTTCCACTGGATCACATAATTACAGCCTCCCTGCATTCTGGGGCGGGAGTAGGGTTGCCACCTGTCCCAAATTCACCTGGACAGTCCAGGTTTTGAGTCCTCTACGTGCTGTGTCTGGCTTCCAGCTGGCCTGAAACCCAGAAACAGCACATACAGGACTCAAAACCTGAACTGTCCAGGTGAATTTGGGACAGGTGGCAACCCTAGGCGGGAGGGGGCATGGTGGTGCATTCAAGTCAACGGCACCAGAAGCATGTATCCCGGCCCGGGACTTGAGGATACAGCCGAGTGATACACAAACAAGGTCCAGTATTGTTAATAGTTAAGGTACCTGAATGCATTATTAAGATTTAACTCATAACATTAGTCACTTTAACTATTAACAACAATGTATCTTATTTGTGTATCACTGGGCTGTAGATCCTCAAATCATCTCTGAATTGGTGCTGACACTGTCCTTTCTTCTGGAGGGGGGCTACTTATGTTCCCCATGGTCCCTGCGTGTGTTGTAAAGTAGTCACCGCTCCAAGCTCGGTCCCATAATAGACTATGGCCTCAAATCAAATAAGCTATCTAAACGTTGGATTTTTTTGTCCATCACGGGAGTAAGCTTGGATTGGTTAGACTTAATCTTCATTAAACCTAAAGGAAAGGTACCGGTGAAAAAAAGACCCAGTGGATTTAAGTGATCATTCTTGACCTTCCACTTGCCGTGGTCCATTTAGGGTTATGCAAGGCGTTGTCCTTTGTCTAAACAGCCTGTGCCAAAAGGAGTCCTCCTTTCCTATCACAGAAGCTTGGGAGAAATGACTCCAGCCATATTGGGTTGGAAAGAGGTAACATTTCTGTCAGGGTTTACTTCTCTTGTTTAGTTTTGTAATTCAGGAAAAAAACTGTGCATACGTATAAACGCATGCAATTACATTCTACTTAATTTAACATGAAATTCAATTACGGACTGTGACTTGTGCCTGAGATAGCTTATTGCATGTTCTGCACAATAATAATTAAATTAAAGTTCCTTAACAAGAAGCTCCTGCAGTACTAGGGATTTTAGTAATGTGTCCTGACAGGGGTCCAGTGGTCACATCAGTTTGGTGTGTACCTCCAGGGAAGTAGGTAAGTTATCACAGTCTGGAGTGGTGTGCAGAGTCTAGCCATGCTTTCCATGCTTTGTCAAACCTGCCTGCTTTGCCTTTGGTCATGTAGGCAGCTTTGTACAAATGTGGAAAAGAGTTCAGCAAAGCTTTTCAGCAGGATAAACTAAGAGGAATAGTACAATAGCAGATTTAATAAGGTCCTTGATGCCACCACAGTGACGAGTTCTTCAACAAGGCCTAACAGACACACATTTGGTTTAGGTTTTATCTGGAGGGTGGATAGGTTTGCCATGGACTCTACTACATACTCCCAAAAGGATTGAATTCTAGATCAATGCCAAAGTATATGTAGAAGCCCGAGGAGCGGGAGAGATAAAATCCAGCAGGCCGAACTTGAATGAAATACATTTTTTGTATGATTTTGAAGTCTCTGGCTGAAACCAAGGAGATGAAGGTTAATTTCCATATCTTCTCCCAGTTCTTCTCGTCCAGCATTGGGGAATCCCTCAACCAAGCAAGCTTACAAGGTTTAAGTACATTGCCAGTATAGAAAAAAACGTATTGTATATACAGTTGACGATGGCTTACAGAGCAAATCCACTTTCAATAACACTTAAAGCTTAGTTGATTGGAGGGGTATCTGACCAGTCCAAAATCGCGAAAGAAAAGCATGCCTCTGCCCAGCTTCTCTCCGCTACCCAGCCAGAGCACCGGGGTTTGCTGGCAACAGGCCTGACTCTGACAGCAAATACCCTATTGGTTGGCCATGGCATTCCTCTCTTCAGACATTCCCATTTCTAGATAGCGGGCTGGCTCTATCTGCCTAAGGCTCTGGGCTTGTGATAGCATTTGTATCCTGCAACTTGCTCATCTTGTCTTGTCTGTGGATCCTCCTGTTACTGACTATCTGTCCACTTTATGGATTATGCTTCTTCTGTTGCCTTCCTTGACCTCGGACTGTTTCTGGATTACGCACTGTCTGCTGCTTGCCCTGACCTCGCACTGTCTTTGGATTACACTTCATCTGCTGCCTGCCTTAACCTCTGCCTTTTCCTAGATTATGCTTGTATGATTATATCTGCCCTGATCTCAGACTTTCTCTCAATTAGGCTTATTGCCTGCCACCTGCCATGACCTCCACCATCCCCTGGACTTTGTTGGGGGATACTCCCCAGCTGTTCTCCGATGCCTGAAACTCCTGAGAACCACAGATACTCTTGTTTTTTTCCTTCGCTCAGTACTTTGTGCCACCTGGCCATCAACTATAGCATTGTGTCTAAAGCCCAGGGGCAACTAAGTACAGGTTTATTCCCTTTGTGGTCCACACTACTGGCTTTGGAAGGACATGAAAGTTGGGGAAGCGAGGGTTTCTCCAGAGTGGAGTGAGAAGGGAGAGCTGTGCTGTTAAGGAAGAAAATGCGTTTTGGAGCTCTTATTGTCGTTTTAGCAAAAATTGTTTGGTGCCTTTGGACTTCTATGCACAAGGTACCGTAGGGCCTCATATGATTATACTGAAGCCTCCAATGACAAATCAGGTTTCTTTCTGTAAGAACCCCATTAAGATTTTCCCTCACTTCCTTTCTCTGCTACACTTCTACTAAAGAAGCAGAGTTCGGGTGTCAGCAGGATGGAAAGATACGGACAACAACAAAAAACATTGCCAGATCACCTAACCCTTCCCCAATGGGTTTTTGTCTCTATTGCTTTTGTCCCTGTTGTAGAGATTTCTTATCATTTCCTGTTCTGCCACTTCCTGTTCTGACAGGAAGTAAGGGGAAATCTCCTTAAAAGGGGCAAAGATGGCGAAAATTTTTTTCCAATACAAAATAAAACTTTTTTTGCTTGATTAGGTTTTTACATAGAAATTTACAAGGTTATTCACAAAAGGATGAAGAGTTTGGAGAAGTGAACAATCTAGAACAACATAGCTGAACTGGAAACATTCTCTAATTCAGCTCACTTTCTAGCTCAGCTATGTTGTCCTAGATTGTTCACTTCTCCTGCCTTCTCCAAAATCTTCATCCCTTTGTGAATAACATTTAAGGCCCTGTGAGACTTGTGTGGTTCCTTGAGGTGTTTTACTTTAAGGCAATCCATTCAATATGAATAAGATGCCAACACACTGCAGTGCAATAGAAGACATACAGTACATGACCCTATTTTGCACTGCAGCACGCCATATTGCATGGTGTGGGTTGTGGCATGCTGTTTTGTATTGGCTGATACTGTAGAGCGTGTTGGGTTTCCATTTGCAACAGATGGCACCGCAGTAGCACACACCTGTTGGTTCAAATCGCAATTACGTGCATTACCACAACGATTAAAGTTTATGTATGCTCACAAATTGAAATCATATATTTATTTCCACATTGAATTTCAATATTTTCTAGCTTACCCCTACTAATTTGAACAATTCTGAATACAGTAACACATATCCACTATGCCTTGTGAATATGCACTGCTGTGTCACCCATTTTACAGAGCCTCCTGTCTGAACTACAGAGCTGCTGAAGAGAAGGAGTTTCAGGAGGCACATCATCACTGCTTGCAGGCAGCAAGGTACCATGGGATATGTAGTCTTTTGAAATTGAAGGTTAAGAAAGGATCAGAGGAGAAGCCTCAAAGCATGCAGGGAATCCAGGAAGTTGTTGAAAGAGATGATCAACAGATAGGCAGCACTCACAGCATGTAAGGAGATTTTTCGATTTAGCTTAGATTGGACGCTCAAAAAATAACGATCGTTTGTACTGCATTACAATGCTAATGTTATTAAAAAAATTGTTTGCTGTGACTGCGGATCTCCTTTAAACCTTTCGCTGCCATCGACATGTGTCATACTTTGGCAACAGCGAAAGGGAGCTGCCGGCGGCTGTCTGTTTACCTGTGTAAAGCCAACTATCGGCTTTACTTTGGAAGGGATTCTGGTGGCTATAAAATTGCCTGCCCACTTCCAGGAGCTGGTAAAAATCCCCCTGCCTCGCTTCCCGGGCTCTGCTGCCCCTCCTGCATGCCCCAGACCAGCATCGCAGGTGGTGGCGGGTAGAGATACACCAACGAACGTCCATTTGCTGATTTTCTCCCGGCTGAATGAAAC